CCTGCAACACCCAGATTTGCCCCAAACTTTAGACACCCTTAATAATACCCAGGCTCCCTCCACAAAATTCAGAAAGCCTCAGAGCATCAAGAAAAGCAACACAATATGTATGCTCACTCTAGAACATTCAGCTTCACTTCTGGAGGCCCACACCCACTGTATCACATTTAATCCTCAACAACATGTTAGAGTTTGGCAAGTGACTTCACTCTTTTGATTCTGTCTACCCGTTTGTAAACATGCTGAAATACTTCCTTGTAGGCCAACCCAAGAATTAACCGAGACGATTTCAGGAAAGAAGCAAGGTTCAGAACGCAGTCTTTGGAGGTAGACGTGCCTGCTCCCCGTCTCAGCTCCCCCACTTCCTGGAGCTGGAGCCTGGGCACATTCGATGGTAGAAATAGTCAGTGGTAGAGTAGAAGGAATATGGATTTGGTGTCAGTTGGGCCTGGTTTTGAATCCTGCTTCTGCCACTGATTGGCCACAGAACCCACACAATGCACTCTCATTCTCTGATCCTAGTCCTCATTGATAAACTGGTTCCTGCCTCCTAGGCTGTCATAAGAATTAAGTAACACCAGGTATCTTAATCTGAATTTCTAGCCAAAGAAAAGAAGTAGAATGGAGAAGAAGGTAGGAGTAACTTTGGAGCCCTGTATAATAGGCACGCCCAGGGGAGCAGAAGGTGGGCTGGGGACTGTGCAGTGTGGGTTTTGAACAGCCAGGAGGCAGCATGTGGGCCCTGCCTGGGGCCACAGTTGGGAAGGAAGATAGGTACTTGCCAGGGTCTCCGACAGAAATGCCCCTGATAGCAGTGGGATTTGAAGATCCAACCAGCCACCTGCTTTTTGTCTTCAGGTTATAAAAAGCCTGTGTTACTAGACCATAGGTACGATCTTCAAGAATCAACATTTTTCAAAGGAAACTGTCTTTTTGTATTTATTTTCTTGCCTACTTCTAGTAGGAAGAAAATCTTGAGCCCCTTCTGCTGTCTGTATCGTAGAAAAGCAGGTGTGGAAATGACCAGAAAAGTCCTTCCAGAAAAAAGTGCTCACAACCTACACATACACATATTCATCATAGACAAGTACGTGTACAACAGAACACACACACACACACACACACACATACAGTGTCACAGATGTTTACACTGATGTAGACCTACAGGTGTGTACTAATCCCACAGACCATACATGCTTTTTTTTTTTTAATTGAGGAACAGTATGTTTTTCCAGGACCCATCAGCTCCAGGTAATTGTTTCAATCTAGTTGTGGAGGATGCAGCTCAGTGGCCCATGTGGGGATCGAACCTGCAACCTTGGTGTTATGAGCACTGCTCTAACTAACTGTGCTAACCAGCCACCCCCACACCATACATTCTTAAAGCCTTGGCCAGACATATGTTTGCACAAATATGAACATAAAACACAGATTCCCAACAGGGGTCATCTCATGTCTACACAAATACACATATGCATACACACAAATGCCTACAGTTCTGTGTGTCGGCACAGAGTAACATATAGTCATAGATATATACTCCACGCTTGCACAGACCCAGAGAAGCACACAGAAATGTACATATGCCATCCAGACAATGTGTTTGCTGATCCATAACCTCAAAGATGCAAAAACACAGATACACACATATACACACATACGAAAACACATAGATGTTTCTGGAGGCTCATGAGGCACAGACACATTCTGAGACACCCCCAGACGTTTATGCAGAAATGTAGACAAGCAGACCCGAACCCACACAGGCACATGTGAGCACACACCCATCTGCATGCATAAAGTCATTCATATGCAGACACGGGTATATGTGTTTTTACTGAGGCATAGAGACATGGAGACATTTACACAAGTGCTGAAACACAGATATGTTCATAGGTAGATACATGTGTTTGAAACATGTACTTACTGGCATTTTCATGCTCACAGGGTCACATCCATATATACACACATAGCTGTTATTCACACACACATGCTTAAACATGCTCATGTGTGTGCATGCAACATAAGTGCATGTGTAAATGCACATGGGGCACACATGGGAGTATTCATGCATATGGATGTACCTATGGAAATGCACAAACATGAAAGGGTGTACACATAAAGGTACTTGTACATGGAGACATATACATGCACACATAAACAAAACAGAGATGGATCCAAAAAGAGATCTGTACATGTATATATCATACAGACAGTGGTATATACATTTAGAGAGAGATGCTTTCATATACAGAGAGATATGCATTACAGATAGATAGATAGATAGATGATAGATAGACAGATGATAGATAGATAGATTTAGCAGAGACACTTTCATATGCAGAAGTACATATGTACACATAGAGGCACAGATCTGAAGACCCACATGAAGAAACACATGGGCAAGCACATCTGCACTCACACACAGATGTACTCAGATATACGAAAGGAGCATGTAAAATCACATATGTGTGCAGAAACACAGGTAAATTCACAGACACAGGCGTGTACACGGAGACAGGCGTACACGGAGCCACACCCACACAGGCTCATAAAGAGATGGCTTGTGCAGATGTATGCAGAAACATATATACAGATTTACACACATACAGACATTCCATACAGATGTACAGATAGATGTTGAGACCCACAGACACATACCTGAACAAACACAGAGCACACAGATACACGCAGAAGCATGCATGCTCATTGACCTGTGCATGCCGACAAAGAAATGTGCACCCACATTAGCAGAGCCCAGCACACCTTCACGCACAGACACTTGCACAGACACGTGTGTATAGTCATCCATATGCGTGCAAACACACATGCATACCTCAGAGGCATGCACAAACACAGGGACAGAGGCACACTGTGTACACAGGCATACAAAGTTCCCATGCATATGGAGTCCTTGCATGCACACAGCAACATAAACACCTACACATGGACACACAGGTGCACACACCCGGTCATCCCAAGAAACTTATTGTTGTGCAGACAGACGTATTGCAGATGCACACACAGTGCCCCCATAGACATGCAGATGCTCATCCAGACACATGCATGCAAACAGAGGCAGATGAACACCGAGGCATGTACATATGATATAGAAGGACCTAGACACAGATAAAGGGGCTTACAGGCAAGAATGTACAGGTACACATGGACTCACACTCATACACACACACATACCATATACACACAGACACGTAGACATGCAGAGAACCACACAGATGAATATTTGCAAGCAGTCAACGTAAGGAATAAATGTGTCCACACAGATATAGATGCTGTCTTATACACATAGACTCACACAGATATATATATATGTAGATATATATATATATATATATGTATATGTATATATATATACACACATATATATGTATATATACACACATAAGGATAGAGGTACAGCCCCACAGACTTACATATGTGCTCATATACATGGATACTGCCCCCCCAATGACAAGATTCCCCCCACTCAGATGGTGACACACTCCAAACACCCCTTACAGGCACATGCACACAGAGTTCTATAAATGCACTTGCACATACGGACAAATAAATGCACACTCAGGTGCCAGGTGTATGCCCCCCCAATACACAAGCACACAACATCCTCAGTGTATAAGAGACATACACATATATCTACAGACAATGCAAACTGAAACACTAAAAAATACAGACATTCACAGCACTCAAATGCACAGAGATGTACCCTCACATGTCAACCTATACACCCATTGGCACGCGCACACACACACACACACACACACACACACACACAGTGGTGTACAAATGTACTCCTATGCCCATATGGCACTCAGTCCTAAGTGTACATCACATGTGAATACACACACACGTATACATCTGTCAACATAGGCATATAGGTGCAGACGTGGACTTAATCATGCTACAAATGGAAACGCAGACAGACTCATGCAGATTTATACAGATGGAAACAGAGACTCAACCACATATAAAAGGATGTGCAAATAAATACTTATCCAAAGGAGGTGGTGACCTTTTTGTTTTGAAATTTTATAGGGGGAACAGTGTGTTTTTCCAGGACCCATCAGCTCCAAGTCAAGTAGTTGTTTCAATCTAGTTGTGGAGGATGCAGCGCCCGTGGCCCATGCAGGAATTGAACCGGCAACCTTGGTGTTATAAACCTGCACTCTAACCACCTGAGCTAACTGGCTGCTCTGGAGGTGGTGACTTTTAATGTACCTATTTCTTAGCCTCTTAAAGAGATAATGAAAATTATTGAGCTCCCTTTGATGACTATACCATGTAAAAGCAGATGTGGAAATTATCAGAGAGATCTCTGAAAGATCTGGAGTGCACATGTGTGCGTGTGCACACACACACACACACACATTTCCACAGGCACAAAATCACAGGCATAGAATCACAGGAAAGCACAGAAATATAAACATGCATAGCCAAATATAGAAAGATACACACAAACACACACACACAGACACACACACACACACACTGAAACATCACACAGTGTAATATTTAAGGGTATGGCTACTGGATTTGAAAACAAACTAAATCAAACCTGTGTTTGCAGCCCAGCTCCAGCACTTACTAGCTGTATAATTTGGGGCCATTTTTCTGCTTTCTCACCTGTAACATGGAGCTACTATTACAACTATTACATTTGAAGATACAGTGAAATGAAAGGTTTAGACTCGTATTTGAAATGTTTTAGATGCTGCTGCTGCTGCTGCTTTTGATTTTGCTAGAGCTGAAGTTCTTAGGTGGATAGGGTTTGGGTTTTGTGGTCAAGTGCATGTTTATATCATAGAGATGTATTAATTAACATTATTCGTAAATGGTATTAATGAAGAATAGTTACCTTCACAGACAAAACCCTTTCTGAAATTTTATGTCCCCAGCAAATGGAAAGACCTAAATCAAATATTTCCTGTTATTGTTGTTTGTTGTGATTGTCACTGTTATTCGTATCCCTTTCCTTTTTGCAGGAGGAGATGGCAGATTGGAGCGAGCCCCAGGAAGAGGGGAAAGAGGGCTTCCCTCCAGGTGCACATGTGCCACCTAGTGACCATATTGAGTAAGTACCGTATTTGTGGATTGTTCAGAAACATTCCTAAAATTTCACCCATTGCAAAGTTGAATATCCTCCCTGGCGAATAAGCTAGGATACATAAAGTTATAGTGGTTTCAGCTATATTCAGAAATTAAAACGTTATAAAATAAAAAGAAACCTACCTTCTTAAATTTCTTTCCACTCTGCTCAGTTTTCCTCTAGACTTTATTGAGACTGTTCTACAGCAGTGGTCTTCAAACTTCCTAATTATAGGCCACCAAAAATAATTTTGAAAAACTATCTACCCCATCATATATCTTTAAGTTAACATTTGAAATTTCTCATCAGAAGTTTAATTATTTGAAGAGTTATTTTCAGCATGTAATAAATACTTATGCTTTTAATAACATGATTTAATTACATTTTTTGCATGACTCAGTAAACTAAAAGTACTATAGTAACTTGATACTCATCATTGTTGATTTGAAAGCAAGCAAAGAACCATGCACAGACAGAAATTTTACATGATTTTATTACCTCCTTGAAATCACCATTTCATTCAACTTTTCTCATATAATTTATCCTAACGTAATATGTTTTTATGTTTAAAGGCCTCTTATTTTCACTCTACTATACATCTCTGCAAAAAGCATATATGGACTGAAATAAATTTCCCTATAACTTTAAGCCTCTAAGTATTAAAATTTTTATCATTAAATTACTAGTAGTGTACAGCTTATCAGGCCAGTGTAAAATATTACACATTTTGATAAGTAATTATTAAAAATAAAAACTAGAATTTGGTTTGAAATGCATCTCTTAAGTAAATATGATTATTTTTCCCCAAATTAGTTCATGACTCTGAGGATGACTGTTAGTTCTAGTGAGAGAGAGTGCATTATCATTTTTTCCTATTTTTCACTTTTATAGATATAAGAACTCAGAAAACTTTGTTCCCATAAATAAGCAGAAGGGAATGGAATAAGTGTCCACATCATGGGTCAAAAATCACACGTGACCTCTCATCAAAGATAATTTTTAATGATTTAAAATAGTTTTAATTAAAAATTTTAATTTTTAACGGACAACTTGATGCGGCCTATCTTTCATAGTGTGAAAGCAAAGAAGCCTTGATTTACGAAAGGATTTGTTGCCGAATCATTTTTTCTGATTTTCTGAAAAGTTTACCAAAATGATCTTACCAAGATTTAACAAATGACTATTATATCTGTCATACTTTCATTTTGAGGCATTATTTTAAATCCAATGTACTCACAAAGGTTGAGAAAATCAAAATACTGAGATCAATATGTCTTAGTCAATACAATAATTTTGATAAAATGCCTTTAATTCATTATATCCTTTAAATATAAAACTTTGAGGTTGCAGACTTGGATCATGAATTTCATAGAAAATATTTATAATATAACTTAATTGGCAAAGGCAGTGTTCATATGGAAATAATCAGCCAAATCAGCTTTATCTTCAGAAAAAGTGTCTGACTTCATTTTTCAATGGAAATAAAATGAATTAATATGCATTCTGAGGAGTAATATTAAAACCACAGAGAAATCAACTATAGGGCACTTCTTGTTAAATATTTTACTAACAAGCTACATAGAATGTTAAAGTGATAATAAGATTTATATCCGCTTCAAAATAACTTAAGAAATTCAATAATCATTTTCTTTATCATACATAATTTTAAATTAAACAATGTAGTATGTAGCTAACATTATAAATCATGTATGAAACAAGAAATCTGATGGCAGGCATAATTTCCTTTGGTAAACACATATGCATTGTTGTTTAGAATTAGTATTGGGTTTCTGGAAATAATTAAGAATCATGTGTGAAAAATTTAAAATCCATTAATGTTATTAGATCACAGAATCAAACTTTTAATCATATTTTATGAAAGAGAAAAGTATATTTAGCTAAAAAATAATTGGCTTAGCTACCATCATATTTTATTTTTGATAATAGGAAGTAGAAAATATGTAATTATTTATAAAATGAAATGAAAATTAACTTTAACTAGACAAGCTATTCCAAGAGACAATCTGAGAAAACAGGTTTTAACAAGTTTAAAGAATGATGTACCTTATCTGAAAGAAATCACATACAATTTCTGTGCATAAGTTTTACCAGTGTAAACACTTTGTAATACAGGAAAACACTCCAGTTAAAAGAATCAGAATCAACTGTATATACTGCTATTAGTTAGGAGGTGCTATTCTTTTTAGCAATGACACATTTAAGTGATTACTATTGAGAATGGCTGCAAAACAATGCTTAATTTTAAGCAAGTGGAAAAAAAGTTGTTCTTAGGCAGATCAATTGTAGTCAAGAATACACATACAAATTGAGAATCTGAGAGTAGATTTCCTGCAAACTCTCCATGCTAGCATACTTCTTGAAAAGAATTCATGTACTAATAGTCTAGTTTGAAGACCATTGCTCTAAACTGTCTTCTGCAGGATTGCTCCAGAGAAATATATTGTCATTGTTGGAATAACCAATTTATTGTGGTTCTCATTCACAAAAATGCAGTAGAAGTCGCTGCCAAATGCTTCTATGACTGATTGTGTTTGAGCAAAATATTCTGGAAGGGATTATTTTGTTTTGCTGATAAATGTAGGTATCAACTAGACCTACGTTGTCTAGTATGGGAGCCACTAACCCCATGTGGCTTGTGTGGACTGTGATATACCAGAAGTGTAAAATACAATACATGCCAGATTTCAAATACCAGGCCAACATCAACAAAATATTTCATTAATATGTTTATGTCAATTACATGTTGAAATGATAATATTTTGGATATACTGAGTTAAGTAACACGCCCTTGAAATTAATTTCACCTGCTTTTTAAACTTTTTAAAATGTTGCAACATGAAAATTACAATTACATATGTGACTTGCATTATATGTATTATATGATAGTGCTGCTCTAGAGCTTATATTAGAATTCTCTAACTTCCTCTAAAAACATGACTACAGGAAAAAATGATTTTTCCACTACTCTCGTCCAGTAAGTATATAGGTATTCTGATGTACAATAGTACCTTTGGCTAGTGTTTGAGTTTCCAGGTTGGGGAATTTCTAGTTGTAAGTAGGGAAAAGTAAAAAAAAAACAAAAAAATAAAACAGCAGTATTTTATCAAAATATTTTAAAAACAGGCTTTTATTAACACCTAGAAATTTTTCCAATATGAAAACTTTGGATGCCTCCTTGGTGGGTACAAGTAAAACTTTTCAAACTCTTCCAAAATGTCAGTGGCAGATATTGCATTCTATGGAAGAGACGAAGTGTTTCATCATAGTTGGGATGCTTTTTATGTAACACTAAGAAAGAAATAAAAAAACTTCTGAATAAACTATGATGTAATGCTTTCATATCCATAGAATATTTTTTAAGGTTTTATTGGGGAATCGAGGGAAGGGGAACAGACAAGTTGCTGTCGTTTGGTTCTTCAGTCTAGTTGTGGAGGATGTTGCTTCACTGGCCCAAGTTGGCACCATCATTACGCTCTTCCCGGGTGAGGCAGATCAGNAGCCGCTCATGCTGGCTGCCGGCCACACACGGTAGCTTATGGCAGTCCACTGCAGCAGGGGCTGCAGCCTATGCCATCGCCGGTGACTCACGGCAGCCCAGCTCCAGGTCGAGCTGTTGTTCACCATCTTAGCTGTAGAGGGCAGTGTCACTGGCCCTCATGTGGGATGCAAACCGAGGCCCTGCTGCTCAGAGCTGGCATCCCAAGCCAGCTCTTAACCAACGCGCTACTTGGCTGGCCCATAGAATTTTAATTTTATACTTATTGAAAGAGCTTTTTTGGCTTATTTAGACATATATTTTTATCATACTCGTACATCATGATACTATAATAGCCACAATCAAGTGTGAGTGCACACAGGCAATAAAAGCCCCCCTTTCAAATGCCTCCTGGCTGACAGCAATTGTAGAATGCCCTTGATTAAAAGGTGCATTCTGATTTCAGAGATGTGAAAATGTGAAGAAAATAAGCATCTTAGAATTAGTTAAATATGGTAAGTCATTTGACAAGAAAAAAGCGTGATGGAGGGCCAAAAGCCAACTCCAAGACAGCAGTCTAGTAAAAACACTTTTCTGTGTATTATTGTATTTACAGAAAAGATGGCTCTCATTTAAAAATGGATCGTAGTGCATTGAAATAACATTACATGATATATTTTGTCACAATTGTTTGATGGTTTTCTCAGCATCCTTTTATTTGTTTCCTGGCTTGGAAGTAGGAGGGCTAGGGAAGAATCATGATGGGTGGGGCTATGACCGGGGACAGACTGGATATCTCTAGACTGAAAATGCCTAGCATGTCTGTTGTAAGAACCACTTAGCACAACCTTGTGTGAGGCTGTGCCTTCAATGGCACTGTTTGTTCTTTGTAAGTGGGGCTAACAGAGGGAGCCTTTCTCCTTGTCATGGCTTAGTTTAGTTTTCACATATTCAATGTATCCTTTCTTGCCTGAAGGACCTCAGTGAGGGAGGAATGGTGATTGAGCTGCTTTCTTAGTTTGTGTTGAATATAGTATTCGAGAGGGTCAGCAAGATGAATCACAGCTCCCCAGGAAGTACATCATCTCAAGAATCAAGGGGGAAAAAAACAAACTCTAGATTTGTCCTCCAGGAACTGTGGCATATTTAGGATTGTAATGATACTCTTGATGGTATAAGAATTTACAAGAGGTAACAAAACCAACGGTTTCATGAAATGAGAAGAAGAGAACCAATCACATGTTCCCTCCCTTGTCCCTACAGCTAAACATTATACTAAAACTTAAGTGTCTCTTGAGGACTCAAAAGCAGGGCCAGCTTAATGGGCTGTGACCTGCGCAGTCTGATAGGGCCCTATGCTTAGAAGGGTTCCATGCTTGATTTAATGCTCTGCTGTCATGGTCTTGACGTTCTTAATTTTTGAAAAGAGTGCCCACATTTTCATTCTCCATTGGGCCCCACAAATTAGGTAGTTGATCCCATTCAAAAG